TCTCCCCAGACAATTTTTAAAAACTACGTCTCTGCAAAATCAAACAAACACGACCCTAATTTGATTTCTAACAGTTAACACTTAAAATCAGTATCAATGTGAGATTTATTTTAAAACTTTTTAAACAAATTTAGAATGTTTGGAACTTTCATCAATTGAGATATAGATTAGTTAGTTGGGAACCATACACGGGACGACCGTGCCGGATCTCCTCCCAGACAACTTTTCATTGCTTCAGACTTCTAGTAATTTATTACTAATCAGCAACTAGTTGCGGTTGATTCTCTTGGGTGGGACCGATAAATTTTGATGAAAAAAATGAAAAATTTTCTGTTAGAGACATCTCTAAACGGTTCAGTAAAATTTTCAACAAATCTTAGTAAAAAAGGTTAATTTCTCAATTTGATACGAGCACCTCCAATCGTTCCAACTGTAGCGTGGCATTCAAAGCGAAAAGGGACGTCCGGTGGGTCGACCTAGTAGGCATCAAAAAAAATTTTTCCCCTCCATTCTGTTCCCCAATTCGTTTATTATTTCTTTTTTCCCTCCATTACATATTTTCCATTTTTGGTGCACTATCCAATAATATTCCTTCCAAACTTGAGTATAAACACATTATCCATGTACCACTATACCAGGACAAGTGCTACCTTTATATTTCCTGAAAGGCACCATAACTAAAAAGAAGCAGAGACATAATGAGTATCTTAATAATCCCTGATGTTCACTTCATTTTTATCATGCTTCTTCTTGCCTCATCCTCTGAATGATCAGTTGACACGATTGAATTATGGTCATCACTTTGGGGCTTATTGGATGATAATGATTAGTACGATTCAGATTTTGCTAATCAACTGAAGTCAAAGAAAATATGTGGTCTGTGTGAGGCCATAAGTTATATTATGGTCGCAGATAGAATGAGGGGTTTATGACGCGATTCGGTTGCGGATATATTTATCACGGCAAATCGCAGTTATTCACCTACTAACATTTCAAGAGAACGTTTATCGAATGCGGCAGTCCTTTGTATCTGCCGAATTATTGAATTGCCATTGAAGCACAATAATCCATATTTTGTTCAAAACATAAGATGCAGAACTCATATTTCGGATTGTTCTCCCCATAGCAAAAGATGACTCAGCTATAGAATATTGCTCATATGGCAGTGGCAGCAAATGCAGGTTTGATGATTAATAATACGATATTGCGGAAAAAATATTGCAATTCAAAGTTATGTAAACACTTTTGTAAATTCAGTAATTAAAGATCTTCGGACCAAAATGATCTGAGATCTCTAACACTAACTGATATTGCCAGGATTACTTGCATTGGGGAGAGTTCGGGCGAGTTTCTGCGGGTATGTTGGGAAGTTTAGATTGCCATGTATTCGGAAGATGAAAAAAATTGTCCAAAGATCATGGCAAGGGTCAATATGTGCCATCAAACAAAGACCCACCATCATTCTTGAAGCAGTAACTTCTTCATGACTTGTGGACTTGGCCATGCATATTTTTGAAATGGTCTGAGATCACACAATGACATTGAATGTTGTTGAATCGATCGCCCTATGTTTTTACTAGATACTTGCTCAAGATAAAGCTCCCCACTGTCTATTACAATATTTCAATAACACGTTATTAATTATGGTTATTACCTCGCTGAAGTATATACCCCTCAATGGGGCAACACTGGTTCAACAATACTTTTCTCCTCAAGGAACAAAAAATAACATTTTGTATATGTAGTAGACGTCCACCCAACGGTCCCGGGAGAGAATCCTGTTTTGTTCATTTGGGCTACGTATAGTTCGAACTCAATGTCAAACGGGTTCTTAATCTGGATACTTGCAAAGTGCAATGCGAGATTGATAACATTACCAAAGAGTCTACAATCCGGCAAATCGTTTTTAAAAACTCGATTTTAGAAAGACAGTGCCAAACATAGACGCTTTGCCAGAGACTTATCAGAGTCGCCAACCTAAATATTTTATTTTGTGAGAATTTAGGAAACCCTGACTCGATTCGCCTATGGATCATGTGTCCGGCCAAATCATCACTCCAAGTTGCCTCGGCTCGGAACTTGGTACGATATGGGAAGTCACTTTCGTGAGCAACCCCCGCTCTGCCAATATCCGATTTAAAGATCGGCCTCTACGTAACCATGATATCGCAGTTTGAATCTCCTCTGTGGGAGCGGACAGGTCAAAATCTGGGCAACTAGTTTTGGTTTCTAAACTCAACCAACCTGTAACAAACCCGCTCAACACATCCTATAACTCAAATACAACGTAAAAAAGGATGTAAACAAGATAATAATCAACTACCAACATCCATGGACACATGTCCGGATCACTGTTCAACAAGGGTAAACCCGGGATCGCTATATAGCCTATCACCCGTCTATGCACGGGATAATTATAGATATTTATATTTGTTTTAATTTTTTTTAATATATAAATTATGTTTTTTAAGATTTTTTATAAAAGTAATTTCACAATCTTATCACTAACCATAGTGTACATGAGAAATTAAAAAGGCTACTGCAGTAACTATGCACGGACTATATCTATAATTATTTGTATGATGGAATTTTAAATGCTTATCAGAGATTTTGACCAAATCAATAAATGCAGACATGTAGATTGAAAAAAGTTAATAAATGTTGATCAGGGAATTTTAACCAAATCAATAAATGCTGAGATTTTTTTTTTAAATCAAAAATTTAGAAAATTAAGATTGAGAGATTGGAGCTCCTACAAGACTTAGGGTTTAGAAACCGCATTTTTCTTAACATATTTACAATTATCTATATATATGAATTGCGATTTTTAAATGTCTTTTTTTTTTTAAATGTCTTCTTTTTTTCCTTTTTTATATTATATTAAAGTTTAATATTTTGATAATAATCATATGTGTTGGACTTTTCAAGTAATTAAATGTCTTCTTTTTTTTATTATATTATATTAAAGTTTAATATTTTGATAATAATCATATTTGTTGAACTTTTCAAGAAATTTTTTTTATGCTTATTCTTAATGCGTTAAAGTGTTATTATGAGAGATAATAATCATATGTGTTGGGACTTTTCAAGGAATTCATATGTGTTGGATTTTAAAGAATTTTTTTTATACTTGTTCTTAATGTATTAAAGTGTTATTATGAGGGTAAGACTTAGGGGTTGGGAGAAGTTAATAAATGCTAAGATTTTTTTTTTTAAATCAAAAAGTTAAAAAATTTACATTGAGAGATTGGAGCTCCAACAAGCCTTAGGGTTAAAAACCTCATTTTACTTAATATATAGTATATAGATATTATAGACAAATAAAAGTTCATTTGTTAACGACATTTTTTTAAAAATAAAAATTCATGACCTTTTGTTTTAAAATAAATAGTTTCAATCACTTTATTTGGTTTTGAGTTTTCAATTTCAGCTCCGTTTTGTAGCTCGAATTTTCCGTGGGTTGAGCGACCCGAAATCACAAAACGACATCGTTTTGAGATTTTTTTTATTTGTTGCTTTTCTATTTTGCCCCTTTTCTTCATAACTCAGGAGAATAAGAAAGAAGAAGAAAGAAAGAAAGAAGAGGATCTGGAAATCATCAACACGACATCATCATCAACAACCAACACATCTGGAAAATACTTGACTAGTTTAGAACCCACACACACATACATCTGGAAAATCAAACCCATACACACACACAGACACAAATCAAACCCCCACACACACACAAAGCAGCAACGGAAGCAGCACAAGCCTCGTCGGCGGCAGCACCAACCTCGTCGGCACAAATAGAAATCGGCGATATGGGTCGTCGTTCGTCGTCCTCCATTGTCCTCCGACGAAGGCGAGAGTGAAGAAATAGAGAGGAGAGAGAGACGAGAGCGAATGAGAGGGATGAGGCGAGAGAGGCAAGAGGGATGAGGCGAGAGTGAGAGCATCGGGGAGAGGGATGAGACGAGAGTGAGAGAGAGGCTCGAGTGAGAATGCTGATTTTGTTTGGAGAGGGAAGAGAGTGAGAGGAGAGAGAAATTTTTAGTTTCGAGCTACGGATGATTTTTCTTTCAATTTATATATTTTTTGTTTTAAGTGAATTTTTTAAAATATTTTAATTATTTTTTATTTTTAAATATATTTAATTTAAATACACTTAAAAAGTAAAATATTCATTAAAAAAATCTTTAAAAAAATGTATGACAATGTTTTTTTTTTTGTTTGTATGTAGTAAATATTAAAAAAATTACAAATTTTGTACTTTTTAAGTGTATCTAAATTAAGTAAATTTAAAAAATAAAAATAAAAATTGATTAGAATATTAAAAATGTTCACGAAAAACAAAAGAATACAAATTGAAAACTCAAAAAAATATTTTTTTAAATTCAAAATCAAACAGAAAAAATACTACTTAAAAATATTGCCACAAAAAAACATTATTTTGACCATCTTGCTCATTTTAAACTATACAAATTGAAAACTCAAAAAAATATTTTTAAGAATTTAAAATCAAACGGAATAAATGCTGTTTAAAAATATTGCGACAAAAAAACATTATTTTGACCATCTTGCTCATTTTAAACTATGTCTATCTTTTTAAAATTAGATCGTTTCTTTTGAAACATAGAATTACAAAAATCTAATAGGTCTATATCAATGTATTACAATTTTTTAAAATTATATATATATACATATATATAATGTAAAACAATTACAAATATGAAATATAATTTGACAATTGATACGTTTAATCACACCATTTAACCGATAATTACCAATTAATATTTTTGTTCTTCAAATTATCATTGAGTTTTTAATTCAGACAATTAAGTCCTATTTTTGATATTTTGGAATAAATTAGTTCAATAATCCATAATAATATATTCTATTCCAATTTTACCCTTGGGCATTAAAACTACACATTTGTAATTGATGCACTTACAACAAAGAACAATGATATACAGACAAAATTCTTATATAAAATGATGTAATTGCTGCTGATCCTCTTGTTTCAAACCAAAACACTACCATTCACAGCTCACAGTTTCAAAAATGTCAGCGCCACATAAAATGAGATAGAGAGCAAAACAAATGATACGAAGCCCGGGGAAATCACTCTATAACCATGGCCTAGCGGTGCAGCGTCTAACCAAATGAATAGTTTCACAGTTCACAGTGCACCGGAGAGCCTATGAGAGAGAGAGAGAGAGAGGTTGCATACTCTTTCAATCACCTGGTCCTTCAACTACATTCATCACTTGCACCATAATTTTGACCTAATCATTCTATTAACTAGTCAACAGTAATTGTAACAAAAATGAAATTCTTACATACAAGCTTATCCAGATCAGTTGCTACTGCTATTTGTTTCTCTTCACAATGGCAACAACACAAAGCATTGCAAGCAGTCCTCTGGAGGTCGATACCTGCTCTTTTTCATACTACCCATAATTACCAACTTAAAAACTAATAAAGTATACTTGGGTTTCTATATACTACGCATGATGATAAATGTCGGAGGCAAGAAAAGCTCGACCTAGGTCACACGACTCCAAACAGTCTGTCCACAGCCCCTCCCAACATAGTGATATCCTCTTCCACGATGAGAGCCTCTGGACTGCCCAACCCAGCCTGGACGACCACGTTGATGTCTTGGAACTTCACCAAAAGTCTGAAACACATGTCAAAAGAAAACTCTAGCAAACAAAGCTCGAGAAAGTACAGGACATGGACATGTTAAATTACTGGGGCACAGGCACATTACCTCAATATCTATTTTCTTTTGTTTAGAAAACTTGGCTCTTCCTCTTCCTCTTCCTCTTCCTGACCCACCATCAAGTGTAAGGCAAGAAAGTGAATCGAAGAAGTCATCCTTAACATACACATTCTGCAGAAACAGATATATCCAGTCAACTTAAAACAGAAATAATATACATATATATATATGTAATTTATGATCGAGAAATGCTAGCAGTCTGACCTTCACATCACAATTTGGCAATCCATCTTCATCCTCCTCTCCTGCATCATTTGCACTGTTGTCGTTTTCATTGCCCTCTTCATCTTCCATTCTATTTTTGTTGCTTTTCCTGAGATGACCCCATATTTCCTCCTTGTTGAACTTTGCATTCATTGCATCAAAATCAAAATCCTCTGTAAATTTGATAATTGTCGGAGAAACCTGCAAAAGAAAAACGTAGAAGTTCAAAATATAACTAAGACAGACTACAAAGAGGAAAAACAAAAAAAATCCCACATTCTAGCGATGGTGGTGGGTCAAATATGGCAATGGTGGTTGACATGGAGTGGTGAGGAAGACAGTGTTACAACAAGAGGGTATAAAAGTCTCTTGAATTTTCCGTTAACAAGCTTCACATTGCATTTTAGTCCCAAATCACACGAGGGCTAATTAGCTATTTTAATGTTAGGGAGGTAAAGTACGAAAGGACCAAACCACAGGGGTAAAGTGGATTTTGCCCTCAATACAATTACCATGTTTGAAAGATTCCAATGCTACTTTAGCCCATGCAAGTTTTTGCCTAGGGGCTCGAAGTTCGAAACATCCTCCATATTCTGGAAATGAAAAACAAAAGCAATGAGTTACCTGAGTTCCTCTTCCCCGTCCATGACCCCCATCACTGCGATGGGTGTGTACAGCAGGTTTATTTGGCTACAAGAAAAAAGAGAAAAAGCAAAAGATAATTAACTCCCCATGACTATGAATGACAAGATGAATCACTTTGGAAAAAGTACCCCAATTTCTCTACCCCAAGAATGACCTCTATTACTTTGATGAGGGTGTAAGGTAGTTCTGTTAAGCTAAAAGGATATACACAGAGTGCACATATCAAATCCCCATGACTTCAATCTATAAGTAAAATAACTCAAATAATTTTAAACAATACTAGCACCAAGCATGAAACATCATGAAATTATTAAAAAAATAAAAATCACCCCCTTTGCTCTTCCCCTTGCATAGCCTCTATAACTGTGGTGATTGTGTAAAGCAGCTCCATTGAGCTTAATGAAGAAAACAAAACAGCACAAAAAAGCCATATAAGAATACCCGGATAACTTAAGTGAACAAATAGAAAATTAAACACCTGGCAATATAGACATGAAACATTCTGAAAATTAAAAGACAAGTGACTGATTACCCAGTTGGCTTTTCCCCTTGCATGGTCCTTCTCACCGCAACGAGTGTGTGCATCAGTTCCACTCAACTGGAGAAAAACATAACCAGCACAAAAGGCGAATATCAGAATCCCATGACTTTTTGGGTCAAAGTGAAACCACTAGGCACTAGCAATACACATGAAATACTCTTGAGAGTGGACTAAATGTAATATATATATATATATAAGAGATTACCTTGTTTTCTCTTCCATGACGTTTATTACTATGATGAGAGCGAAAAACTGCTCCATTCAACTAGAAAGACATATTCAAAATAAATAAATAAAGCTTACATAAACATCCCCACTACAGCAAAGAGAGAGACAACAACCATACCTTTTTGGCAGTTGGTGATGGTAATGACTGTACTGGATCCTTGGCATTTTTTGAATCCGAAGACAGCAATTTTGCTGTGGATGCTTGAACAACTTCTATATCTTTTTGAGCAATCTGCAAATGAGATGAAGAATGTCCCATAGGCCCAGGTTGTAAAAGCTGATCTGGGGTCAACAGAGATGGTATTGATGCCTCACATGGATCTGGAGTGAATGACCCAACAATAGATGGGGTAGATTGAGAAATAGTTTGATTAGGTAATGCGAGGTCAAAAACTGATTTAGGTTTGTTGGTGACTGGAGTTACAACAGGATTCACATCCAAACTAAAAGCCATCAAAGGAGATGCCAATGGTGAACTAGAACCCAAGGCTACAGTAGGAAAAACATTAGAGCCTTTATTTGGCATCAGAATAGATGATAAGTTAGAAGGCAATGTGGTAGATGGTTTAATAGGAACGCTTGAGTTTGGAGAACTACTACAAACCGCTGGCAACAAGGGACGAGAAAATTCTGCAGAATTTGATGCATCACAAGGTAGAGATGCATTCATGGTGAGATTTTGCATCTGCTGTATCATAGGAGGAGATACTACTGACAATCCTTGTGGGGGTTGAAGAAAGGAATGCTGTTGCAAATGAGAAACTCCTCCTGAGGCCCCACCTTGTCCTGGCCAACAAGTGGGCATGGCAATCCCATTATCATTTACGGTTGGAGGATGAGGAAATGAACCCCAAGACCCTAAGCTTCCCACAGGTTGGTTTAGGGTGAGATTGCCTTGGAAAGTTGAATTGGGGAGTCCCAACTGTGCATGGGAACTGATATTTGTTGCAGTGATAGCACTATCACACGGAAAGCTAGAAGATGCTGATGTTGAGCGAGGATAATGAGGCTGCACGGAATGTCATGATTAAGATGAAATGATCTCAGTTTATCTAATGTATCATAATACAAGCCTATTGTAATCTGTGATTCACATGCCTGTATAATAGCAGGATCATCTGGTACAACTGGGGTACTATGAACAGATGGTGAAGATATAACCCGCAGATCCTGTAGAGCATGCATGGAAGTCGTATTTCAGGGTCAAGTATTTTTCATACTAGAATGAAACAAAATATTTCTTTTCAGAGAGAGAGAGAGAGAGAGGGCAAAACTTCAACCACTGCCATTGAGAAAGGGCAATGTTTGCATCACATCTATTAACACAAAAATGAAAACAAATAATCAGAAAGTGTCATTTCAGTCTCTACACCCACACAAATTTCACGCATCCAAAGTGAATCAGCATCAACCGAACCGTGACATACCCGTCCCATCTCTCTATATTCACCATCTCCCAATAAATAAACAAATAAATAAAGATTATTGAAAGGTCCCTGCTAAGGTCTGTCAATGAGCACCACAAAAGGCCAAAAAAATTATAATCCCAATACACTTTTCACATATCCCAGAACACTTTTACATATTTCAATACACTTGCACACTTTTTCAACACTAACACCATCCCTTAGGACTGGTTTTAGCATTTTCCTTATTGAAAAGCATAAATCCAATGCCAATTGTAAGTTTGGTACTCCAAAATCACCAACAAAATGACAAGCAGAATATTCCTAGGCCTATAACCTTCCAAGTAGAGACAAAAAGCAAACTGAATGAGATAAAAATATTGATATCACATAGAAAGAAGATAGCCAGGGGCCTAACATAGAAAATTCAAATCAAGTCAAAATATAAATATGACATAGAAAATTCACGAATTCCCTTGAAGACATTGTTGGAACTTTTATCTACAATGGGTCACTCTCATATCAATTAAGTAAATCTCATACAACAACCTAGTTAGGAGATTAGTGGTGGCTTTGATTCCCTAAGTCCTTCCATATTGAATTACAAATTTAACTTCTGCTTTTAATTAGTTTTCATTAAACAAAATAACCAATCTCAAATTAATTTAAGAAGGAATTTTCAGATTTATAGCAATTTAGTACCGCAGTCTCTGAGGTTCTACACCTTTACTCTAGCCATTATCCTACTCGGATTTGTGCTATTGTGAGGTTATATTTTTGCATGATCAGTAACACCAATGACATGAACAAAATTAAGTAAAACACACAAGGATATCAACTACAACAAACATGGCATGTAAATTATTTATCAATCGTACCTTGATGTCACTTCCTCGGAAGAATATGTACTCATAAATTTTGTCACTTGGAAGAACATGTTGCCCATCCTTCCTTCGTCCTTCTGTTCCAAAAGATTTTACTGGAAGACAATACGTACAATCCCATGTCAACAAAATTGAGAAACACATGTACAAACTATAATCAAATGAACAAGATATCGCTTTGGATCCTTTCACCTACAGTTAAACATCCCACAGAACAACCATAGCTACTACTTTTTTTAGATTTGTAAGTTGTAAGACTTGATAACTTACAATTTCCCATTTCCTTAAGCTTGCATAAATGTAAAAAATTCAATTGGTATTAACATCATCACTACAACTAGTTTGTTTAGTACAATACTAATTTCTTAAAATCCTTTAGTACAATTTATTTTTTTAATTAAGCAGGAAATTAATCCAAAAAGAACTAGAAAAACAAATGAATACCACTTTACTTATTACCATAGAAGTAGCTCAGCCCAATTCAATACACCACAACATGTTGCTCTTCAAGTCCCAAAACACAATTTAGCTTAACATAAACCAATTTCTAAATTATTGTTCCTAAGTCCTTGTGCCACACTGATATGCACTCCAACCCCCATGGTGGAGGTTGCAAGTTTCAAGCCCCATGTGGGGTGTTGGGTTGATCCCATTTCCCTTAGATCTAGGTTAGATTAGGTTCCAACGAGTGAAGTATATATATATTGGCCCATGTGGTCTGCTTCCATAATATTCTTATTATGTTTGAGCACCGAATCTATTTAGGGATACTAAATATTTTCCATTATTCAATTATGAGATACCATTCCACAGTGCAATTCCAGTCACCTCTCTAACAGCCATTCCCATTCTTGTTTAATTCACCTATTAAACCCTTATAACCTCCACAGATTCAAGAATGTGATATTCAATATCTAGATAATATAATCACATAAATGCTTTTTAGAGCACATAAAATAACTATTTAACATATATTACAGCCTTAAAACAAAAATCAGCTAAAACCCAGACCACAAAATCAACAGGCAACAGCAAAAGTGCAATTCCAGTCACCTCTCTAATAGCCATTCCCATTCTTGTTTAATTCACCTATTAAACCCTTATGGCCTCCACAGATTCAAGAATGTGATATTCAATATCTAGATAATATAATCACATAAATGCTTTTTAGAGCACATAAAATAACTATTTAACATATATTACAGCCTTAAAACAAAAATCAGCTAAAACCCAGACCACAAAATCAACAGGCAACAGCAAAAGCAGCGAAATACGAAACAATGACTATGAGAAAACAAAAACCCATGCTACAAAATCAATGTACAGCAACAAAATCACCTGATAGCAACAATAACTATCTAACAAATATCACAGCCTCAAAACAGAAATCATCAAAAAACCCAGATCACAAAATCAATGTACAACAACAACAACAAAATACGAAACAATGACAACGAGCAGTGGTGAATCCAGAATTTTTTTTAGCATAGACATTAAAAAATTTTAACTTTATAAATCTACTAAATTAGACTTTTCAAATCACACAAAAAAATATAGAATGATAAGATTAGACTTTTTTCTCGTAGAATCTTGTTTCTCTATGGCTAATTTGTGCAGTAAGTTATAAAATAAGTTTTTGAGGCATAAGATTTGAGACAAGAATAAAATTCATTGATATATACTTTATATTAGATTATTGTCTAAAAAATCATATATACTAGAGTGAATAAACGAAAACAAAGAATCTCTATATATAAATTTAAATCATATATATGTATATATATATATATTACGAACATTAATGATCACATTTCTTATCATATTTTATTTAGTAACGACAAGCATAAGTGGTGACATTCATTAAATTAATACGATATTGACACAGAAAGAAATAAACAAGTTATGATAAGGTAATCTTAACATTATTGTTTTAAGAGTTCGTGGGTTATAAATTTTATGAATTGGGTGTTCAATGGAGTGGAGTGGGTGTTAAACCCAGTGAGTTGGGTTGATTGGGTGCTCAATGAAATGCGATAGGGTATTCAAACTTAGAGAATGAACAATTTTAAACAAACATATACTACTAATTTATTAAACAACCGTTTTTTTTTTTTTTTTTTTTTTTAATTTTTTTTTAGGGTATTATATTGCATACCCTACCTATAGGGTAGAGTCGTCCATGACAAGGAGAAAACAAAAACGCATGTTACAAAATCAATGTACACCAACAAAAACACATGACATCAACAATGAGTATCTAACAAATATCACAGCCTCAAAACAGACACCATCAAAAGCCCAGGTCACAAAATCAATGTACAACAACAAGAACAACGATATCAGAAGCAATGGCGACGAGAAAACAAAAACCCATGTCACAAAATCAAATATGATATCAAGAGAGAGAGAGAGAGAGAGAGAGAGAGAGAACCATTTCGGAGGCCGATGGTGGATTCTTGGGGGTTGAGGTGAAAGAGAAAGCCTTGATAGCGGATTTGGGCTTTGGAAATCAAGCTTATGAAGCTGCCAATGTAGGCATCGGCGGACCCACTGGATTTGGTTGATTCTGCTGCCATTGATTTGCTTTGGAGAGCTTTGCTTTGCTTTGCAGTGTAGACACTGTGAATTCGGTGATTTCTTTGTCAATTAAGCGCTCTGCCTTGGTGCCCCGGAAACCCCATTATTATATTTTATTTTATTTTTACTTTTATTTATTGTTAAAGTACCCTTTTGAAACTATTGCTCAAAAAAAAATATATATATATATATATATCTTATTATATTTTTTATAATTACCAATAAGGAGTTTGGGATATTCTAAATAAGTGTATTTTTAAACTAAAAAATTGAGAAAAGAGATATGATTGTTTTGAATAATTTTTTAACTTTTTACGAAAAAATATGTACTAAAAATTTGTATAAATTAATGTATAGGGGAAGATTAGGCAGAGTAGGCAGTACGGTGGGCAGATTAGTGTATAGGAGAAGCTTGCCTCCTTTTCGGGCATTGAAGTGGATGGTACTGTTCGACCCGTTGGGATCCATCACAGGTCCCGTTTTGCTAATCGGAACCGTTGAGTACTATATGCTTGTAAAAAATTACGTCAATCGGATATCGATAGCTATCTGATCGTGCCAACCGTTAACTATAACACCATCCATTTTTTTAAACAAAACTGATTAGATAATGTAGTTAGCGATACCCGATCAACATGATTTTTTTACAAGCATATATTACTTGACGAGTTCTACACGTTAAACGGTTCAAATTATCAAAACAGAATCATAGGCCAAACAGCACCATCTTGTGTAAAAAAAAAAAAAATCACCCTCGTGACCATCACTTGCCCGGCCTGTGTACAGTGGCTTGTACTTGTCTTGTGTAAAGGGAATTTTTTTACATATATATTTTTTGGTGAATAGTGATGACTTTTTAATTTCTTTTAGTGATTTTTTGACTTTTTGTATTTTTCAATGTATGTCAAACCAGGCCTAAATGTATGACACACATATACAAGAGCTGTCTCCAACATTTAATTTTTCTTTCATCAAATTTAAATTTGATAAAAAAAAATATTAGGGTATGTTTGGTTTGGCTTTGTAGAGTGATTTTGGAAAAAAATTTCTAAAAAACTTGTTTGATTTGTAGTTTTTCCAAAATCACTTTCTCTCTCTTACACATTAATCAATCACTTTTTCTTTCTCTTCTCTCTTTTTCAATCACTTTTTCTTTCACGCACATCTACTCAATTACAACAAAATATCAAATCATTCTAAACTCCCACACTCCAAATTACTTTCAAAATACACAACCAAACAAACAAAAAAAATTTCTAAACTCTCTCCCCAAGACAATTTTTAAAAACTACTCTCTCAAAATCAAACCAAACACACCCTTAATTTTGATATTCTAACGTTAACATTAAATCAATATCAAATTGAGAATTTATTTAAAACTTTTTAACAAATTTAGAATGTTTGGAACCTTTCATCAAATTAATATAGATAGTTGTTGGGACCCTACACCGGACGACCGGCCGATTCTCCTCCCAGACAACCTTTTCATTGCTTCAGACTTCTAGTAAATTTATACTAATCAGTCAACTAGTTGCGGTTATTCTCTTGGGTGACCGATAATTTGATGAAAAATGAAAATTTTCTGTTAGAGCATCTCTAACGGTTCAGTAAAATTTTCACCAAATCTTAGTAAAAAAAGGTAATTTTCTCAATTTGATACGAGCACCTCCAATCGTTCCACTGTAGCGTGCATCAAAGCGAAAGGGACGTCCGGTGGGTCGACTAGGTAGGCAACTCAAAAAAAATTTTCCCCTCCATTTCTGTTCCCAATTCGTTTATTATTTCTTTTTCCCTCCATTACATATTTTCCATTTTTGGTTGCCTCCAATAATAATTTCCTTCCAAAACTTGATATAAACACATTATCCATGTACCATATACCAGACAAGTGATATGTTATATTTGAAAGGCACATAACTAAAAGAAAGCAGAGCATAATGAGTATCTTAAATTCCATGATGTTCACTTCATTTTTATCATCTTCTTCTTCCTCATCCTCTGATGATCAGTTGAATGATGAATATATGGTCACACTTTTGGGGGCTTATGAGATGAATAATGCTAGTACGATTCAGATTCTGTAATCAACTGATAGATCAAATAAAATATGTGGTTATGTTGTAGGCCATAAGTATATACGTCGCGATAGAATGAAGGGTTATGAGCGATTGTTTGCGGATTATTTTACGGCAAATCCAGTTTATTCACCTACAACATTTCAGAGACGTTTTCGAATGCGTCGTCCTTTGTATCTGCGAATTTTGAATGCCATTGAAGCACATAATCCATATTTTGTTCAAAAACAAGATGCAACTCATATTCTTGGATTGTCTCCCCTACAAAAGATGACTTCAGCTATGAGAATATTGTCATATGGAGTGGCAGCAAATGCAGTTGATGATTATATACGTATTGGGAAAAATATTGCAATTCAAAGTTTGTAACACTTTTGTAATTCAGTAATTAAAATCTTCGGACCAAAATATCTGAGATCTCTAACACTAACTGATATTGCCAGATTACTTGCTATTGGGGAGGTTCGGGGGTTTCCGGGTATGTTGGGAAGTTTAGATTGCATGTATTGGAAGTGAAAAAATTGTCCAAAGGCATGGCAAGGTCAATATGTAGGCCATCAAAAAAGCCCACCATCATTCTTGAAGCAGTAACTTCTTATGACTTGTGGATTTGGCATGCATTTTTTGAAATGTCTGGATCACACAATGACTTGAATGTGTTGAATCGATCGCCCTTGTTTTCTGATCTTGCTCAAGATAAAGCTCCCCCTGTCTATTACACTATTAATAGACACAGTTATAATATGGGTTATTACCTCGCTGATAGTATATACCCTCAATGGGCAACACTGGTTCAAACAATCTTTTCTCCTCAAGGAACAAAGAAGTAACATTTTGTAATGTGTAGACGTCCCCCAACGTCCCGGGAGAGAATCCTGTTTTGTTCATTTGGGCTTACTATAGTTCGAACTCAATGTCACGGTTCTTAATCTGATCTTGCAAAGTGCAATGCGAGATTGATAAATTACCAAAGAGTCTAAATCCGGCAAATCGTTTTAAAAAACTGATTTTTAGAAAGAAGTGCCAAACATAGACTGCTTTGCCAGATACAGAGTCGCCACCTAAATATTTTATTTTGGGAGAATTTAGGAAACCCTGACTCGTTGCCTAAGGTCATGTGTCCGTCATCACCAAAGTTGCCTCGGCTCGGGAACTTGGGTACGATTGGGGAAGGTCACTTTGTGAGCACCCCCGCTCGCCCGATTAAAGATCGGCCTCTACTAACCATGATATCGAGTTTTGAAAACATTATGTGCTCTTATTCCGGTTATTAGTCTAGAATTACTATGTGATGCACATAACATACAAGTATAGACTGGATCGTTTGAGTTAGAACAAAACATTTCATGTTTGTTTATTTGAAAGATGGTTTGAAGTTTACTACTCGCAAGTAGGCTAAAATGCGGATTTCAATGAATTGTCCCAATTCAAGTAATCCAACATTCACCCACAGGCATTCAGGCAATTATATCACATAAGCACATAGTCTCATGGCAAGAATGTTGTCATGTTAACACTCACATGCATGCAAGATGCTAAAGCATAAACACTCACAGTGTACTCCGAGCCAAAACAAGGAACATATTAGTAATCAATGCATGATCGTAGCTATGTTGAGATGGCTAATGCAACGCATGCAAAAATGCAACAAGAATAGGCTCGGCCAAGCTAGGAATGGCATATGGAATGCGACAACTCGATACACGTATTCAAGTTGGAATTGAAATACTATGCAGTTAGCATGATGCGTCGAGCCCGGTGCATGCAATACAGATGAATGATGCAAACATGCGAGCATAAGTATGCTAATTGAAACATGCCCTAAACTAACCATCAAAAGCTAGTAAATAAAAGGGAGAAAGACGTGGGGTTAGAAGACATTCACACATGCACGCCCACTTATTACAAATTCGCCCTCTTGACGGAGGGTCCGAATAAATAATACAAATCAACTAACAAGCTAATTAATTAATTACACAACCAAATCAGAATAAATAACCAGCCTAAGTTATTAAAACGCTGAAATGGCCTCAAGGCGAGGGATGCATGCATGCTTGTACGGCTTCGCTTGGAAATTCATTGCCATACTCATGCTGCATTTGTTTACACTGATCTATACTTCTGAAAACTTCACAAGTCCCAATGAAGCTTCAGAATCACTCCCTGAGCACTATGGGATGTCATCGACCAAGAGGTGAGGCAACCGGCCATGTGGAACTGGTCATCGACCATTTGTGGTAATATCGGCTAAAAATTAATGGCCGGCCGGCATTGAAGATGGTCGACCGACCATCTCTTCTTGCAGAATCCTGTTTTGCTGCAGCAAAGGACAGACAGAACATGGCGATGTATTTTTAAAGCAATTTATGCACCACCACACTCCTTATCATGTTTGAGACTCGAAGGAGTATGGTTCTCGACCCTCGGGCCATCAATCACGCATTTCAATGCATGATGGCCCAAGGTGCCAAGTGTGCATTTCAATATGGAATGAAATGCACATAACACGTAAGGGGTCCCAACCTCTATCGTGATTGATCAAGAGGCAAGGGATGTATGCTCGATGCTATGCAACCTAAACATGCGAGCATACTAGTGTAAAATGAGCATACAAGCAACAATGTTACACAAGGCAATTAGCATATGACAATATGCAAAGACAAGCATGCAAACAAGCATGTGACTTCACTCAATCATGTAACAACATGTGAGGCAAACATGTAACAACATGTTAAGCGACGTAAAACCAAAAGAATGCATGCCAAATGGACTACCGCTTAAGCATGCAACTACATATTAATAGGCCAAGTATGCGACAACATGCAAGGCAAGCATGCAACAACATACGAGAATGGTCTTAAACCAAAATGGGCAGCTTTCGAATAAGCCCAAATCAGCGGCCAAAATGCTAAGGGATAAGGGACAAAACCACATACAAACATGCATGGTAGTTGGCCTAACACTTAAGCATCAAAGGGAGACTTTTAAGCACACTTAAAAAGAATGAAAAAGCATGCAAATGTGACAACATGT